AGCTATGGGGGAAGCCGAGGGGTTACCACTAGACTGCAGAGTCTAAGCTCCCAGGAGGTGGGTGCTAGATATAGGATCTGTATCCTAACAGTGTGCTTAGGGACCCCATGAGAAATCCAGTCCCTGGACTCTGTTCAGACTCCGGAGGCTTAAAGCACTTAGGATCCAGTGTTTGGTTCCCTCACAGCAGCCTGGTGAGTGTCCAGGAGGGGGCATACACACCTCCCAGTTAACCTCCGCGCTGACCTGCAATAGACATGTTGTTCTAGTTGGGCCCCTTCATGCCCCTCCCTCTTCCTGAGTAGAAGTTACAAAATTATTATTTGTATTACTTTAGCGCCTAGAGGCCACAACTGAGATTGCGAGTGTGTTGTGCTAGATGCTGTACAAACACCTAATATAGTAAAGATAGTCCCAGCCCCAGTCTACACAGACAAGACACACACAGGGTAGGAGAGGAAACAGAGGCACGGGAAGGGACTTGCCCTAGGTCCCAGCTCTGCCACTGCTGTGTGACTAGAATGTCCTGAGTCTAGTGGCCTGTCCAGTGGACCACGCTGCCTTTCAGAGGTGTTGTGGCTTTGGATTATGGACATACAGAGACTAAGCTGCTCGAGACTATTTAAACTTACTTTTTGTTTTGTGGCTAACCCCCAGTTCTAACTCAGACCTCAAGAGGCTCATGCCCTAGCCCAGAGGATCTTGCAAGGTTAGGATTTTAAGCTTGGAATGAGGACCAGTAAAGTTTGTGCCGTACCATTTCTCCCTCTTCTCAGGATTATTTCCCCCAGCTGTGCCTTCACGTGGTGCCACTTTCCTCCTCTCGTTACTGAACTCTGGCGTCAGAATTGTAATTCTTCCCCCTCCTGTGAAAGACAGCGAAGCCACTTTGTGCTGCTGACCTTTTCACTTCTATTCCAGCACAATTTGCCAGCTGAATCCTTTCTCCCCACTTGCAACCTCAATAACCTGAGCGAAAGCTTGGATGGCAAAATGAAATACCCAAGGCTGAAAAAGCTGAATTATAGGGGCCAAAGGACTCCCTGCAGAACTCAGAAGTCGCCAGAGGAAACGCACCAGTGCCGGTGCTGCTACGGGTGCTGAGGTGCTACCATTGAATTCCCTGTGGGCAGAAAGAGAGGAATTTGATGCTATGTTTGTACGTTTATGCAAAATCTCCTAGGTTGGGCTGAAGGAATGAAATTATGATGTCATTCCTGCATCAGCCAAGAATAAGAAACCGTATCCATGTACGATATTCTGGTTACAGTTTGGGTAATTATATAGGGTCTTCCTTCTATGTGTCTCCATGCATCTTGCCTGAATTCCTGTCCTGAAAGGGCTTCCTGACTAGACTGATACACTGGTGTTTGCTCTAATGCAGCGGTTTTCAAGTTTTTTGAGTTACAATTTTTGGTTGTTCCTACCCCTCTGTTCTTACCACACCCCAACCTACCCCTCCGTTCTCACCTTTCTGCTGAGGTGAGTCAGGGGCATGGGTGGCATTCCCTCTCTGAGCCCTGTCATATGGGGCTGGCCCAAGCTCCCTTAGGGAGGCGCAGCCCATAGTTTGCAAACCTCTGCTGTAAAGTGTATGGCTGTGCTCCATTTCCCTAGCTATGACCCCTGACCTATGGACTGGGAGGGAGGTTGGAGTTAAGAGCCACTACCGCAGCTCTATGCAACTGAAGGATTCCTCTACACCAGGGGTTTCTCAACCTTTTTCTTTCTGAGCCCCCCACCCCCCAAGGTGCTATTAAAAACTCCAAGGCCCACCTGTGCCACAACAATTTTTTTTTCTGCATATAAAAGCCAGGGCCGGCGTTAGAAGGTAGCAAGCAGGGCCAGGGCCCCAGGCCACGGGGGCCCTGCAAAGCTAAGTTGCTCAGGCTTTGGCTTCAGTCCCAGGTGGCAGAGTTTTGCTTTCTGCCTTGGGCCCCAGCATGTCTAATGCTGGCCCTGCTTGGCAGACCCCCTGAAACCTACTTGTGGCTCCCCAGGAGGCCCTGGACCCCTGGTTGAGAACCACTGCTCTACGCTGTGGGGAATTCCCCACCGGTCAGATCGGCCAGCTTTGTGCTGGGAGACCTGGCCAAAGCTGTCCTAGTGACTCTGAATCTGGCCTTTTAATTTCATGTGCCCAGCCACCGGAACACTCCCAAAAATCTGTCTCTAGCTCTCTCCCCTGTGTATTTAAAATATGCACGTCGGCGCACTATGCAATTATTGAAGCTCATTACAGCGAGAATGAAAATACACATTTTTCAAAAATATGTTATTTGCAATACTAATCTTCTTTTCGAATGCACATTGAGTAATTGAATCCATAGTAACTAACAAGAAAACATACTGACTCGTAAATAGGCTGATCTAGTACCGTATTTTATTATGTAGTTTACCAACATGACAGCTGCTTTTTCTCCTATTCAGAATAGGAAGGCTGACATTTTGTTCTTATTTATTTTTAACCATGAGAAATAAGGAAGCTTTTCATAATGAAATCCAGCAGTTCATTTGTATCCTACTGCACACAATAAAAGCTCTTGGGTATGGAAGGGCAAGGAGATAAATGAATGGTCAGACCAAAATGTAGTGAGTATTTCACTGATTATTTACTCATTCTGAGCAACTTCACTGTTAAGAGCAGCAGCTGGACCTTGGTTGACTATGCAAAGAGCCAAGTTACGCAATGGCACAGAGTAGCAATGCAGCAGGGATAGATTGGGACTACATGATTTCTGTGTAGACAAGCATAACATACAGTCAAGCAATATACACTTGTGGATAGCACTTTAATCACAATATTCTTTGAACCGATATAGATGAATAATACATGAGCTGACACCACTTTATAGCCAAATAGTTACTCTACAGTCATCTACCCTCCATACATAATAGCAAACAAACCACAAAACTTTATTCTCTGCCCTCTTGTGGAAACAAGCCAAAGTGGAAGGCGTATCGCAGAATATACAGATAGCTGTAATGCTTTTTCTTGTTTCTAGCAGCCACAGTGCTGTAGTTGCAGGCTGAAGCCAGGTTGCTTTGATGGCTATAATTTAGAGGTATTGAAAGAAAAGAGAAACAAAACGCTCTGAGTGGGCCGATTCCTCCCATTTGTGTCATTCCCTATTATGCAGAAGCACTTCTGAGTTTTAACAACCAGCCTTCAAAGCAGAGATTTAAGGCCCAATAACGTGATGTGACTGACTTAGTCTAATAACAGTAACACTAGAGACTGTCTTGATAAGAGTAGAAAGCTCATGGTGGTAATTACTGTTTTTTGAAAAAAAGCTGAGTGTGGGGAAATAGATTGCACCAACTAGAAAAACTGCTGTTTCTATCACAAAACCAAATTTGTCTGGGATAGGGCAGAAAAAGGATCAAGAAGTAAGACCAGGGCCGGCTCCAGGGTTTTGGCCGCCCCAAGCAGCCAAACAAAACAAAAACAAAAAAAAGCCGCGATCGCGATCTGCAGCAGCAATTCAGCGGGAGGTCCTTCGCTCCGAGCAGGAGTGAGGGACCGTCCGCTGAATTGCCGCCAAACAGCTGGACGTGCCGCCCCTCTCCGGAGTGGCCACCCCAAGCACCTGCTTGGTAAGCTGGTGCCTGGAGCCAGCCCTGAGGAAGACCCAGGTGTAGGCATTACGGGCAGAAGGGTGAAAGGAGAATAGATATGTAGGTATCTTGTTTGTGCTGGGTTCTAACCAGCTAGACCTTTCCCACGCCTTGTGGGTGGACTGTGTGGTTCCAACGTGGGGCATGAGTGGCCTTGAGGAATTCAAAATGCATCTCAAATGGAAAGATGACGCCTATTCCGTTCTCCTCCTATCATGGCTCTGTCCTGAATGAATCCTTTTTGGCATCTCTGTCCTTAATTCCCTGTGTGTCTCATGAGCCCTTTGCCTCACTGGAACACGGCGGTAGAGCAGCTGAAGTCTCTGACATTTTATCCAGAACTGGTTCTTTCCTCTGCTTTATCAACCAAATATAAAGGCAGGAAATGTTGGGGAGATAAAAAATAAAATCAGCTGCTCCTGCTTTTCATCTTTTGTCTTCAAAGAAAAGAAAATAATTGCTCTGAGGATGTAAGTATCGGCTTCTTTGAGGTGTCCCCAGGATAACCCTTTTTACTCCACTTTAATTACTTGTAATTATGTTATGTAACTTACGAAGATACGTACTCAGTGTGGGTGAAATGCTGCTCTTTTGCACAAAGCCTGAGTTAAAGGGCATGGCACAGATGTCCAGTTACCCTCCCTCGCACTATCCACAACAAGGACGCAGGGTACAGATTTCTGCACACTCAGGTTATAGGCTTTATTACAACACCATTTGGTGTTTGTGGCCAGTGGATCTGCACATAGACCAAGTCGCCACGCCCCCTCTGCAGTCCTTCTTGGTGCTCCCAGCGGAGGCAGTGGAGGGGCGTCTGGTTCTCAGCACAGCAGAAACATACAGACCCCCCCCCTTCCATAGGCACAGGGAATTGAGTGCTGTCTGCTTGAAGAAGTGAAGGAGCATTTCCACTTGTCTGCATTACCCATTTCATTCCTTAACCTCATCCCTCTATAGCTCTCATGCTGTGGTACTTCCAGAGAAAAGGACTAATTCTAGCATCCTAAACTAGACGCATTTCTGCCACTCTCAGATGTCTCCTGCTGGCATGGTGTTGTCAGCATATCTGCTTCCTCTAAACTAGAGTCAGACTAATATTAATGCAGCTGGAGATCCGTATTGTTATATATTGGAGTCACACATAAGGCAATAGTTGGGGAAAATCCTGAAGTCCTTAGCAGGCCTCACTTGGGCAAAACTCCCATATTGATTGTTTTACACAAATAAGGGCTGCAAGATTTCTAGCTGCAAATAATCATCACCCCCTTAAAGCAGAAAGTTTTCACTTTTTCCTAGCCAACACTCACTAAAACGCTGTGTGTCTTTGGCCAGCCAATCAAGCTAATGGATGGATTTGTTTTAAATTCCCAATTTTCCTGCAGGGCAGCAACATCTGAATGGTGTGTGTGATGGCTTACTCCATTATCCTGCAAAGAGAGCCCAATGAAAGGCATTGGAGAGGTGAACAGGGGTCCAGGTGCATGACGGATGTATCACTGCTCCCGACCAACTGAGCTCCGTCAGCCACCAGTGGCTGTGCTCCTGATGTACATCTGCAATGCCCTTCTGACCGTGCGCAGGAGGGGAAATTTGGCTACAATACCAGGCAAGACCAAACTCTTCTGAAGAGTTCCGTCGCATCTACACACAAAACAGGCAGGATTTCAGTTGTCTCTCAATCCAAAGCCCACCGACGTTAAAGGGGGTCTGTCTGTTCGTTCGCTCCGATGAACTTTGGATCAGGCTTTTGCTCAGATCTCACTTGAAAGGCTCCCACACAGTGAATCACAGGAAACTCAATTGATTTATCTTGGAAGGATGAAGAGCCGTGTCCGTCTGCTTGGCTTGGAACTTGTGGATTCAGAGAGTCTGTGTAGTTCGATGACCACCAAGCTGCCCCCTTCGGCGCTAGGATGAATGCAACGTGGACTTTCAGTGAGGTACAGTTCAGAGGTATGAAGAGTGCTGCAACCTTGCCAGGACTCCAGCTATTTTTCATTCTCTCCAGTGGGACTTTTCTGTGGTAGCTTCCCATTGAGAGAGACCTGTGAAAACCAGAACAGGGCTGGAAAAGAAGGAACAAGGCTCTGGCTTATGTAACTTGGAGCAATGAAGTTGTAGGATCTGCCAAGGTGCAGCAAAAGCTCTTTCCAGTCCTTTCTCCCCACTGTGTCACCACAGCTCCACTTTGGTGTGGGGTGGGGTGCACGCGTCCTGCCTCCCAGCTAGCCTCCTTCTTTCATACCTAGCGGCCTTCTTTGCACCTCCCTGCTGTGCCAGTCAAAGATCCTGCCACAGGTGGCATGTTTCTCAGCCTGTTTTAGTTTCTGAAACAAGCAGCAACGGGGAATCCAAAAATTCTGTGAAAGAGCTTGATTTCCCAGAAGGATTGCTGCCTCCATTTCCCAAAGGGGCTGGAATGAGAGAGGCCTCTGGGTTCAGACCAGGAACCTTCTTGTAAAAACAAGAAAATAAAACAAAACAAAAAAACTTTAAAAAAATCAATGGGTGGAAACCTGAACTTTAAATTAACAGCACTGAATTATGTATGTTTTTAGCTCTGCGTGTAGAAGACCCAAGCAAGTTGTTTAATCCTGCAGCTGAAGCGTGGAAATGACAGACACACAATTTTGCTTTTATTTTTTCCTTAAGCTGGATGAGTAGCACATGGTAACGAAGTCGGAATGCAGACAGCGCTGCCATTCTGCATTAAAGTAGCGCCTCTGAACTCCACATGAGTTATGGGCAGGCCTTCAGAGGACTACTGGATTTTGCAGTTTATCAAGTATGGGTGGGAGGGGAGGGGAAGCCTCAGCTGAGTAGTGGTGGAAAAAGAATGAAAAGCCAGCCACCTTGAGTCTGTCTCTAAATGCATGACCGTGGAGTCCAGAAGCCACATGGGTATAAATCTCTTCTATAAAGAGGTAGATATGTCTCAGCTGGAGGAAACTTAGCAGTAAAGCAATGAGTGTTGAGCAGAATCAGGTTTATTATGGGGAATTATACCTTTCCAGTAATCCAAAGCACCAAATTATAAAAGACCTCTTCTACCCCCCTCAAAAGCATGAAGGTTAAAACAGTACGAAAACCTCAGCCCTCTCCCCATCTGTCCAGGTAACCTACCTCAGGTTTCTGTTTCCCCCCTGGCTTTCTCAGGTTATGATCTGAAAAGGGCCTATAAGGTGAAGAGGAGGAGTATTGCCATCAGGTGAGATTTACAGCATTACCCAGTAAAACCTGCACTACTTGAGCAAAATGAAAGAATGCTTTTTCCAGCCAGGCACACTGGCTAAATTGCGGTTTCAGTAAATTAAGCAGAATGCTGATGAAAAATTTAATGTGGTAGTAATCTGGCTATTCTGACAGTCAGCAAAGTCTACAATGACCCTTGAAAAATTCTTCCGTTTTGATATCCTTGTATGGCACTGCAATATGGTCACATCTGCTACACTGTATGCTCTGCACTACATATTGATGATTACAATAAAATGAAACCATTCTTAAATCATCACAACAAAGGCATTATTTTTCTCTTATGGAAATTGCCATGCAAGAAAATTAACCAATGGTAACAGACTTTTTTTTAAATGAAGCCCTATATACTGATCTCCCGTTAGCTCATTTTTGTCACAAACTCGACAGCTATGAGCAAGCCTGCCAGTTCACATCGTGTGCTTTAAGCTACATAATACATAATCACATCACTTATAGCAGAGCCAGGGCTTTCTAGCTATCATGTACTAGAAAAGCATTAGTAATATTGGCGGAGATTTTCAAAGGTGGGATTTAGATGCCCTGTTCCCATTAAATTTAATGGAAATTACACACCCAGATTCTACCCATAACTTTTTTACATGCCATCCATCACACAGTCAGTTGTATGCAGGATTCTAGATTGGAGGCTAGTTCGTTTCTGTAAGTGGTGGCATGAAGGTGGACTTGAAACAGACTACTGGATCCAGATCTCCTCAAACACTGGGGCAGTTTAGATCTGGATTCAATTTCAGCTATCTCTGTAAGATGGATTGGAATAGTGATGCTGGATCCAAACCCCTTTGAGCTTTGAAAGGTCTAATCCATATTCAGACTTCACAGTACAGGCCTATCTTTAGTTTTTAACGTGAGAGTTAAAGTGAAAGTCAGTTGGGAGGGGATGAAGTACATGGGAGAGCACTTGTGAAAGCAACCTCCCAACCTATGGAGAGTTGTGGGGTAGGGACAGAAAGAAGGTCATGAACTAACGGTTTCGTGTTGCCAGGGTCCATATAGGTCAGTTCTGTAGTGTGAGTCTAGGTGAATTCACATCTCCAAGTTTTGAATGCACTTAATGATGAAAAGCAGATTTTTTTAAGTGTAAACAAAGCTAAAGATAATATGCTTCAGCTTTAACTGTGGCTCCCATTATTGTTCTAATCTACCATGCTCTTAATGTTGGATTTTTTTTCATGAGAGCTGGAACATAGGTTTTGTTTGCTATTGTTCTTAGATCATTACTTAGGGGCTAAAGTGGCTAACGAAGCCAAGACTCAGTCAAGGGGCTAAGCAAAATAACCTACAAAGCATTAAGCAGAATTCACATAGGCATTAATCCAAATTTCAGCCAATCCAGAAGTATCTGAAGTTCCTTTTTTCCAAAAAGGAAAAGGAACTATGTGAAATGGGTCCCTGTTTTCAAGGCATGTTTGTTAAATCTTTCAGTGCCTCACTTCTCTCTCTGTAAAATGGTATTTCTTCCACCCTTAGTCTTTCTTGTCTATTTAGATTGACAGTGACATGTTAGGTTGTGAAGGGAATTCCATGCAGCAAACAAACAAAAGGTTGTATTTCTTCACACAACACAGTCAACCTGTGGAACTCTTTGCCAGAGGATGTTGTGAAGGCCAAGACTATAACAGGGTTAAAAAAAAACTAGATAAGTTCATGGAGGACAAATCCATCAATGGCTATTAGCCAGAATGGGCAAGGATGGTGTCCCTAGCCTGTTTGCCAGATGCTGGGAATGGGGACGGGGATGGATCACTTGATGATTACCTGTTCTGTTCATTCCTTCTTAAGCACCTGGTATTGGCCACTATCAGAAGACAGGATACTGGGCTAGATGGACCTTTGGTCTGACCCAGTCTGGCTGTTCTTATGCTGCTGTGCAGAGGCTCAAACTGGGAACTGTAGAAGTTGGCAGGAAGAGGGAGCGCTGAGATTTCCCCCTTTGTCTTATTCAATAGCAGACCTGTTGCTTGTTTGTGAGAAGTTGTTTTATTCCCCAGCCATACAAAGAGAAGAGTACATTATACAGACAGATGAACTAATGAGCTAAACTCTGTCTGGGCCCTGTGGGGAGGAAAGGAAACATGAAGTTGCTACCCTTTCTAATCTCCTACAAGTATTTTAAGGTTGAAGGAGCACAGAATTGGAACACTACTTCGCAGAACTAGGGCTAACCTCAGCTGGTATTTCTCCATTGTGTCACCTCAGGAGAGAAACAGTCGACTTGCACTGAATTTTGATGGCAGTTTTTGCTGGAGTATAAGATGCGGCACATAAGATCAGGAGTAGATTTAAGAATAAGAGACCAGTGGGCAAACGAACTAGATCAGGAGAAGGGTGATCCAATAGAAAGGCCCTGGGCTAATGAAAATGTGGTCCTTTCAGATAAGACTGTAAAAAAGCAAGGATATGTTTAAGATTGCATCCCCAAGAGGAGAGAGGTTAGAGTGATGCATTTGTCCTCTCTGAGGTGTGGAGTCAGATTAGCTGCAGTAGTTCATCCACCATAAATGGGTGCTGCGCTCTTTTAAATATCAATGGTGGGAGAAGGGAATTGCTTGCAGCAGTTGACAATTTATGGTCTGAATTATGTGCAGTTGTTTCTTCTGCAACATTTTATGTACACAGAGTGGAAGCATATTGCTGGGACTGCTACTACTTAGGGGTAGATTACAATTCCATTTTTAATACTGTTTAATAGACTGAAATGGACACTCCGTAGTAAAAAACCTTTTAGCGGGCTGGTGCAGACAGTGCTTTATTCAGAGGCAATTTGCTCAGTTTAATTACAAATTCCCTCCGCATAGCCCAAGCTGTTGCTTTTCCCAAATTTCTGGTAGTTACACCAACTTTAAAGTCTCAAGAATGTACCATGTCACAAACCCGTGATGGGAAACACTGACTGTGTGTGAAATGCTATCTCATGATCTCAGTTGAGACAGCTGCATCATCATTTAATGGCACTGCAGCTGGGGGAAAGGCCAAGGAAGAGGCAAGTGTAGCAGTCTATTGATTATAAGATGTGTGTAATCAAAGCTTCCCTCCTCTGCTGTATTACTGAGCGATTGACAATGAGTGCCTCATTGGAGCAGTTTATTATTGTGATCATTGTAGCAAAGGGGAAAGTGGGACACTTGGTTGAAAATGAAAAGGGCAGAAATGTTGCATTAGCCCCCAAGGATCACATGAATGTGACCTGTTTTGCGTGTGGTAGAAGATAATTCAGGTGTGATGGGGTTAATAGCACCAAGTAGAGTCAACAGTAGTTTCATGCATGTATCATTTCAGAATGTTTCCAACATGGGTTTGTAGCAAGGAAATCCTAGGATGCAGTTATTGCTGTGGGAAAAATCCTTTAGTGACTGAGTTAGGGTAATTCCCAAGAGATACACACCCACTAATTATCCTGGTACACGTTTGATTCTGACACGCTGTGCTTACCCTATAAACTCATGTGGATACATCCTGAATTTTGGGATCTAGTGAATCCAACTGGCTCTCTTTCAGAGAATCTTGGCCAGGGACCAGGCTTTACTGTAGTTTTGTGACCACCCAGTCCCTATCCAGGAGATCAAAGAAACAATGTACCAAATGGGATGATCTGTATTGACAAATCAGACATCCTGCATTCAAGCCTTTCTCCCGGGAGTAATAAGACGAAAGAGCTCGAGAGGATACCCAACCGCACATTGATTCTGGTGATCAGACGCTAATTTTATCTTGTGGACAAACTACTGGTGTACTTTTTTTTGCTTCCTTATGTTCCTTAATGCACTCTTCTTTGGAGTTCAACAGAAAGGGAAGGCAGCCACCAGTGAATCTGTAGGGTACAATTGTTTGAATTAAACCAAAGGCGGTGTTAGGTATATAAAATACGTTAATTATATTTCAATAGGAGACTAAGAGGTGCAAAGTGATGTAGAGCAGCATCGCAGATCCTGTCTACGAACTGGAACAACCAGGACTGTAAACAGTAAATACCACCTTTCTCTCTATTCTGTTAGAAATGATTCAATAAATCACCTCAGAACACCATCTAGAAGAGAACTTAAAACATAAGAGACTACAATAGTAATAGTGTTGTCCGTGGCTCAGTCTCTTTCTGGCATCATGTTGGTTGGTGGGTTCATGTACAGCTTCTCCCACCCAGTCTTCTGGGAATGAACATTTTGTTTTTAAATAAATAATCGGACTGAATTCAGCAGATCAGTTGGAGGGGTCTGTTCTCAGTTACAACAGTGTTAGGACCCTGTTAGACTACTTGCAAGAATAAAGACAATGGGTCTGCTCAAAAGTCCATTGAAGTCAATGGAAAGGCTCCCATTGAATTCTTTGAACTTTGGCTCATACCCTGTGTCCTTGAATAAAGGTGTCAGTATCAAGCTCTAAATCCAGAGTCATTCACTGAGGCCAAAGGAGGAATTCTCAATTTACACTGATGCGAGTGCAAAGAGTTGGCCTGTTACCTTAATTACAGCATGACGCGGCAATTAACCATTCAGTCTAGTTGAGAGGGAATGCTACTGCTCTGCTCTTCCCACAGTTCTCTCTTGTTATGCACGCACATTCACTGGGTATGAAAAATAGGTTCTTTCAAATGACTCTTATAGTTAGTCTGATTTATAGCAATGATGGGCTAGTGGTTGTAAGAGACTGAACAAAAGAGAATGGTTGTAAAATTGCTGCCTTTAATTTATTATCCTGGATGGCAATCTAACGGGTTCTCCATGATGTGCTGTAGCACTAATAAAGGAATTCTGCAGTATTATTATAGCAATTTTAAATCGATTCACTCAGTGAACACTGCTACAGCACTGCAGGAGTCCGTTATAGATATTACTTAAAAAAACCAGGCCTGGGTTTTCATCACCATGAAGATGGTACAATAAAACTGTAGCCAGCAGAATGCACCTTAGGAAACTGGTGGTTGGGTGGAGAGAGGAGAATAACATGAAATGTGAAGTTTCCACTCTAAGGTTATCTTTAGGCTCTGAAGCAAAATACACATTCTTCCACATGTTTTACTTTTCCTGACACTGCCCAAGTGCCCTCCTGGCCGAAACATCAGATCTAATCATCATTTTGCTTTGTAGAACAGGTATTGCTACGGATCCTGCAGTCACTAGAGCATCCAGGAGCCACGTCTAGACCTTGAGTGAATTAAAAACCACTGCCTGGGGTTAATGAAGAGTTCGGCCTTCACGGCCAACAGAAGCCAAAGTCTGAC